GCAAAGTAGTAGAATACTTGAATTCAAACAACTGACCAAAAAAATAGAAACACAGCGAAGGAGATACGTTTATTTTGGATGCTACATGCTTATACCCTTATCTATATGCTACAAGCAAAACACCATTTCGATTTATTAAAAAACCCATTTCCGGAAGCAGAAAAATTGCAAACAATAACATGAAGAACTTCGAAACGCACCGGTTCGGTGGCTACCAAGATGCTTTCTTGATGCCATTGAGCATGCCTTTAGATGCCAGAGTACGGAAGACAATACGGGACATACGGAAGGTCTCGTAGACGGCGCGTGCGCGACCGGAGAAGATGCAGCGGTTTCTGACGCGCGTGAAGGAGCTGTTTCTGGGCAGCTTGGAGAGCTTGAAGCGGTTCTCCTCGCGCAGGTCGCTGGGAAGGCTCGGGTCCTTGCAGAGGGCTTTGTACAGATTTCGTCTCAGCTCGTATTTCGCCGCCAGCAACCGCCGATGGTGGTCTCGGATATTCGCATTTTCCTCAGAAACTGACATTTCTTTCGCCGATGGTGGAAGCGCGCAATCTGAATTTTTATGTTCTTTTCTGGTCCTAGGGTTTATTATGAATTCTTTTGTAAAATCAGGAAATAAAAAATAAAAAATAAAAATCAAAGTTGAGCTTCAAATAGCCACGTGGTGTCTGTTTGTAATGGCCCATTGGGCTAAGTGAGTTAAAACACCATTTCCTTATTGACCATCCAATAAGGCTATTAGGGACTAGTCAAGTGAAAAATGGCGTTGATTTGTAGACAAGTTGGTTCAGATTCGAATCCCATGTAACTGTAGCGTGTGCATTTACTATAAATGAGAAAAATCATCCAAGAAGAGTGGGTGTACTAATCAACTTTTTGGGTGCACCAAGAAATTTTTTGAGAATTTGGGCATTGTTATAACCAGTTAACAACCAGATATATTGAATAAACAATTAGTCCAAAGCTTATAAGCAAGTTTCTTCTTTCTTGTTTTACTTACTATAAATATCAAGGACTTTAAACTTTTAAATAGAGAAATGAAAGTTTTACATCGGTCGAGTGGTACCTTTCTAGGAGAAACTCTTTTGCTTATTTGGTCACCTTCCATCTTTCATTAGATTATGTGGGAGTCATTGTTTATTTATCTATTTTATTAATCGGCAAGAGAGGATTCAAACTTGGGATATCTTTCAATATTAGGAAGAAAAGTAGCACTATAACAAAAGCTAGTTGCTATGTGGTAGCCACTTATTGTCTATGTTCAAATGAGGGTATAGAATAGTGACAAACTAGTTCACATTTAAATTAAAAGCTTCCAAGTACAATTAAATAAATAAAAAAAAGCTTTCAAATTTTTATCAACTACTTTTTTTTTTCTTTCTAAAAATCAATGGGAGCGTGGGATCTTAGAAACTATTCCGACATATGGAA